GCAGCCATATTGCTGATGCAAGATAAAATATTTTTACAACTTCTGTGCAGTTCCTTCCTCTCTGTATTATAAATCATATGATGCTGCATTCAAATAGTAATTATTAAATGGAAGAATAAACCTTTATGAGTTTATATTACTTGAGGGGGAGGAACAAAGAAGTATTCATAGAACAGAAACTGGAGTGAATTGCAGTGATTGTGCACTATAAGGTGTGGAGCTAAATAATTCTCTTGTACAAGCAACAAGATTTGGCTGCTACTCACAGTTACTGTACAGGAAAATAAACCATAACCTATTAAATATATATATATATGTGTATATATTACAATAATTGTGAGGATGAAAAGCCAGAAGTATACTGGACTGAATCTAAAACCTAAGTCCTGATGTTGCTGAACCCAGTAGGTCCAGCCATGCGCCCTGTGCCATCACATCTTGTTATTGAGCAGCAAGAGCAATGCATATTCATGAGGAGTGCGCTCTTTCAATGTCTTTGCCTTTGGTTCTGTCTTTAATTTAGATGTATCGAGTCCTCCATGTTTAAAAATAAGTGAAAATAATAGAAAAGACATTACTAAAAGTGACAAAACAGTAATGGAAGCAATTGGAATGACTTCTGTGTTGCTCTGCATACATATGATATAAGCAGCCTTTTAAATGGGTATTATGTACTACAGGGTATTTATTTATAATCAACCAGTTCAACGTAAGTTTTATGCATAATATGGAACTACCTTTTTTTTGGTTTTAAAAAAAAAAAAAGATTGTTGCTGTTACATATCACAAAATATTCTGACGTCGTCAGCAGAGAAAGGATGCAATGATTTTTAAAAAGAAAATATATGTTAAGTCTGAGGCTTGTTATATGTAGTATGTTCAGAGGTTTGAAATTGGCTTGCGCTGGTAATGCTTTAAGCACCATAACATCTATTTGGCCTGTATGAAGAGAGTTAATAACATCAAATATAAAAAAAAAGAGTCCAGTTCAAATTATAAGCAAGTTGCAGTAGCCGCTCAGTTGGCAGTGTAAGGGTAGTGTTTAAAAAAAAATTATTAGCAGCAATATGTGGTCTGGTTTGGGTTTTCTTGGTTTGTCGTTTTTTTTCCCCCCCTCTCTTTCTTTTCAGCAGTTAGTGCCATATGTTTCTGTTGCAGTGACTGCGATTTAGGAAGTGAGTATTGCTTATATTCCCTATGGATACGTGTTTTTTGAAAATGGAGGCAGTTTATCTTGTTGTAAAGACACCTAAACGGTGGAAAATGATTAGAGGGAACCACAAAGTGTGACTTGTCTTCAGTTTCTGTTTCTCATTTTGTTTCTTCTGTAGGTTTACCTGAAGTCTAGCAGTCTCCTGTAAGAGCTCAGCACGTATTATCGGGAGACTCGCAGGATGAGGGTTTGTGATCTCCCTCCTCCCTAGGCCAGAGTTGCCCTGGGGGAGCTCTGCACAACGCTTTGCTCCATCAGCTGAGCCATCATCAGCCCGCTGTCACTGTGTTCATTTTTAATGGCAGGGATCACTACAAATAGACTTGTCTACCTTTTATCTTTCTTAAAAATCAATGTTTTATTAATGTATTCATCACACTGTTACGCTGCTTTTGTGGTGGAAGCTCTGAGCTGTCAGCAGGAGCACATCTGCATACAAACTATAAACCATGGCAAGAACTAATGGTACATCTAACCTGGAATCGTGTCTATGCAGGTAAGAAAGGAACAGAGTGGAGAGAGGGAGGGAACGAACTTGCACCATCTTTCGAAGAGCAGGACTGTTGGCAGGTCAGCCTGGGCTCAGGCAGCAGACAGCACTGAGACCGTGGTGATGGTGACACCGAGAGTAAGTCTCTTGCTTGGGGTGCAGCACGCCTGTGTGTGGGCTGCTCAGTTTAACCTCTGTCTTGGGTCAAGGTCTGTTAACCTTTGTCAAGGCTTGTTAGCATGGTAGTAAAATCCTTTAGTGGTGGCAAGGTTGCTGTGATAGCGAGTGAGTGGGAATCCACCTAAAATGCACACACGTAATACGTTACTTTCAACTTAGCCTGCACGGCTGCATGCCCCGTGCTGCAGAGGTGGATGCATAAAGGTGGGGGGGTAAGATTTTGGAAGATACTTGCTCTTTCACACACGAGACTGTCCTAAGCACTTCCCCACAACACATGGAGTAGTTTGGGCCTGAGGGTGAGAAGACGAAGACTGCAGGAAATCAGCAAAGAGGGGAAAAAAACCCCACAAAAAACCTAAGCAGTGAGAGTAGTAGTTGTCAGTGGTGCAGGTCCAGAAGAGGGTTACTTATGGGTGTTAAGGAGGCTGTTCAACAGGCTGTGGGTTGGCGCGTCCAGCTTTACTGCTGGAAACTGCCTTTAAATCAAAGTAAGCAAAATGTCACTCATAGCTGAGACCTGCTGTTGTAAGCACCAAAGGAATAGGGTAACTTTTTTTGCCGAACTTGATGCATGCTTCTAATCTGTCGCAGTAGGAATGGCTGCATCGAGCTTTCTGGGAAAATAGGGCACCATGGTTGTGTCTCTGGCCTACTGTCAGTGGCCGAGAGGTCCTCAAAGGCTGGCTGCAGGGAGCAGGCCAGCTGCATTGCTCCGTCTGCCTGTTCCCTGCTGTGTCCTTTCCCTGGGGTGCTTCAGCTTCTCGCTGGTGGGGAACTGTTTGTTTGAACAATAGGAAACAGCTGATTCTTAACCTCATCACTAGAAGGTGTGCACAGAAGTGTACTACGTAAATGACTTCAGTTACTAATGCAGGGTGGGGAAATCGGACAACAGCCAGGCAGAGGGAGATGGGTCTGAAAAACAGAACTGAGAGATCACGCCAGTTCTAACAAAGACTGGTGTGTCTTGGCTGTTGTAAGCATGCAGCTAAAAAAAAAAAAAGCTAAGCATAAAAACATCTGACGTCTTAATAACTCTCAGAAAAATGAGCAATGTGCAAAAGATTTTTTTTCCTCAGCAAGGCAAACTCTATCATACCTGCAGATGATGATATCCCAAAGTAAATTAACGAAATGGTGACATTCAGGGAAGGAACAGCTGACAGCTTTGTACGGATCTTCAAGTGTGGAAATGAGTGATATTTTTTGGCAGACTCACTTGAAATAGGGATGATAAAAAATAAAACCATAGTAGAATGACAGCGAGAGCCCACTCACAAGTTGTTTACTGAAGTGGAGATACAGCTGAATGTAATTATTTGTTTCCCAGAGGCATAAGTGATAGTGCCTCCTACAAGAAATAATACTCGATTATTTCGGTTGGAATGTAAAATGGGAGAGAAAGGTTCCCTCTTTCTGAGGTTAGATGCTGGGTGTTTTAACCTCCTTTCAGAACAGTATGTGTATATGAAGTAATATATATTACATATACAGTCAACCATGTATATGCCACTGGCAATTAATAAGTGAGACAACGTCCAATATTGTTTTCCCTTAACAGCCAGATCTCACTGTACAGATTCTGATTAAAAGCCTGACTTTGCAGCGCATAAGATTAAAAATACTCCTTTAAAAGAACATATTTCTGAAGATGATCCTCTCCTGGCTACAAAATCATCTTGAGACGCTTGGAGGCAGGGCTGCTTGATCTTGACATTTTAGCTGTGTGCAAACTGTAGCAAAATTACAGTTGCATTCAGTGCTAGCTACTCTGTACCTTCCTTCCATGCTGAAGAATACTCATTTTCTATGCCTTCTCTTCCAGACCGTGAAATGCGGGAAGGCAACCCGGCAGGTTTCGCAGCGGTTGCCTCAGTGCAATCTTTTCCTAACGTCGGTTTGCAGATCAGCCCCCTCATAAGCGCCTCCTTTGCCTTTCCGTGGGCCATGGAAAAGGAAACATTGCTCTTGGGAGGTTTTCTTCTGTTAAAGACAAGGCTGCTTCTTACCTGCGCCAGTTCAAGTACTGACTTTTTCTTTTCTTCCTCCTTCAGTAAAGTGGGGTGATTCACAAAATCTTCAGAAAGATAGCATTATACACAGTTTATAGTACAAAGGGGGGGGAAGGTCAGATGAATGAGCATGAAGGAGATTTCTCCTGTGTCCTTTGGAGGAGGAGCAAAAAGATTGGGAATAGTTATCTACGCACAGTAGGTGTCTGCCTTGACTACCTGACAATACATGGTCATTGCAAAGGTGAGTCCGAGAATCTAAGAGGGAGAAAAAACAAAACAATCGTTTTTCAGTAAATATGCCCCCCCATTTACTGAAACAAATAAAAGAGAGAAAAGCATGCTTACACTGCGTTTCCTGCCAGTTCACGTCCTTGTTCTGTTCCTAGTTTCTGCCTGCCTTTTTTTCCTTATCTGTATTGCTGTTTTACAGAATGAACAATGAGAGCACGGGAGAGTTGATTTCTCCATGAAAAGCAGCCACCAGATACTGGGAAGAGGTACATTGGAAAGAAATGTTTGGATGTCTTTTGCTCGAAAATATTTTATAGTAGCAACCCACAGCTGTGGGGCTGTGTGGTTATCTCTGTAGCTATTGCTTTCAAAGCAAATCAGGTTCATCCCTGACCCACAGGGTGCTGTGGTTTACTTTACTTTTCCAAGCCTATGTGTGCACAGGTCCCTGTGGGGGAATGTCCATGCATTAATCATAACCATCAATGCCTCATCAACAGCGTGTGCGTCTTTCTACTCAGCCTATTCAAGAGAAGCAGCAGGGAGGTGGTGGTTCTTCTCCCAGCCCAACTACTGACCTGCTGTGCCGGCTCTGGTGGATTACTTCATGAGAAAAGGGGATGGGGAAGAGAGTCTTATTTTATTTCCAGTTGAAGTACTTATATGAATGTACTAAGTGATTGTTACTATTCCTTTGCAACACCACTGAAAAAAATGTCATCGAAATAAAGGTTTGCCAGGTAGAAATTTTTTGTGTGAAGTCTATTTTAAGCACTTAATTTGACCACTTCAAATTTAGTCTTTACATAAATAGTAGTTCCTGTTAATGAGTAATTTGAAAGAGTACATGACTAACACGCATACTACTTTATAAATAATTAAAAAAAAAAATGGTTATAAAGCTGTTATCTTCTTCATTTCCCGTTCTTCCACAGTGAAATAGGATTGTTAGGCTTTAGGTGTTTCATAGTAAGCACATGCCTTTTGGAAGTACCCCCTGAATACTGCCTTCTACTTAGATTCAATCACATAGTGCAGCTGGAAGACAGACTAAAAGTCTTTTGTGTTTTGAGGTGTTTTCTTTGTATTTCACAGCATTTACTAGGAATATTAATTAGCATTTTTAAATTGCCTGAAGTGTTTTCTCCCATGCAAACTAGTAATTTCTTTCTGTCAGAAAGATAGTATTCTCTTAAATGTAATCAAGGTCTATGAGAAGGACTCTGACACGGGCTGCTGGGTTTTTAACGTATCTTTAAAAGACTCCCTAAATGCTGAATAGATGCTGAAAAGCTGGTTTTTAAAATATGGTAATATATTAACAACAGTCCTACATTGTCCCTCTGCCATATGACCTTGTTGTGCTTATCTCTTTTCCTAAGCATATCTGCTTACTATACTGGAAAACAAAACGCAAAACTCTACTGGTTTGAGGAGTCAGGCATTTGCATTAGTAAGTTACCGCCAATATGTGACATATGAGAGAGTAAGTACATGCCATTCTGCCTAAACTGACATTAGTGGGAATGTGAGTGGAATTCTCATCCCAGGCGCTTTCTTGCTGTTGCTAGTGGTATACCATGCAAAATTAAAAAAAAAAACAACACACCCATGGTTTAGTCTGGAGTTACATGGTATTAATTAGCTTAGCAAGCCATCCTTTCTGCTTATATGTTGAGTGTGAGGGAGAGGTGGAGCTGGAAACTAAAGCTCCATCTTCACTGCGTCAGGAATGGGACTCTGGGCCATAAATGGAGGGCTGACATAAAGCTGAAGCAGCCTGAGCTCCAGCACAGCTTTCACCTGTGTGTCCTCAGGCTAAGGTTTGTGCCACTGGGGCTAGACTATGGCCACAACCACGGCAAGCTGGATTAAAGACACAGGTACATAAGAGCAAGAGATGAGGTATATACTGATGACTGATTCTTCTTTGACAAAAGTTATGCTAGAAATAACTGCAGGTCAAAAATCTGATAGGCACGTCTACGCCAATCTTGCCTACCTAGTTTCCCTGCAATTAACAGAAAAGGAACGTGGTTTTTATTGGCAAGGTTGAGTAATGGTAACAACATCCCAACTTGTAACTTACCCTAGGACTGAGGATAGGGTTGAAGACTTAAGCTACCTTTAGGCTATCATCTTGAAGTTAGATATTTAGCCTAAGCGGATGGTCCTCGCTGGAGAACTACTGGACAAATACAGGTACCCTAAAAGGCAATTCACCCTACCCTGACTAGGCTTCTGTCTCTGGAGGGCGGGGACTACTTCTCCAATGAGTCTAGTCTAAGCCTTAGCTAAACTGCGTGATAAAGTGCCTGCTCTTTGCCGTGCATCATAAAAGAGAAAATGTGTGCAGTATTCCTAGTTCCGTACCTTGAACATAGTATTTTAACTAAATTAAAACATAAAAGACTTAAATCTTCTTGCAGAGTTTTACTCTAACATCATGCAAAATTTGGCATTATTAAAACAGGCTTGGGCTGAGTATATCTGGATCTATGGTTACTTATTTAGTTACACTTAAGTAGGATATGAAAATTGATATTAAACTGTACCTGCACCATAGCTGTGCACAATCCAAAGATTCCCACTGCTAGTAAGTTTTCCTGGAGCCATATTTTCACTGTTTCGTAGCAAGGCTGGGAAAAAAACCCCAGAATATTGTATTAGCCATAAACACATAGCTCTACTCCCCTGGGAACATACAGACAGAAAAGAGCCAGATCAGACTAAGCTGCTAGGTAGCCTGGATTATCATTTCAGCATTGGAGCAACTACCGTGTATTTCCAGGTTGAAGCTTGAACATGGGGTACTGATTGTAATGACACAAGAAAGTGCATCTCCAAAATTCTGCATATAAAAGTTGGGCCAGTAACTAAAAATAAACAAGCAGTGGATTTGGGTCCTCTTTGCCCTCTTAAACAAACAACTAGAAGCAGTTAGAACTTCAGAATGAGCCTTTCATTTTCTTCATGTTTCAGGAAAACAAGTAGTATAATACAGCTATGTATATCAAACCCAAACGTTCCCCTGAGAGCTGCTCAGCAGCCACTCCTGCTGCACGTGGGCCCATTTCATACGATTTTCAATATCATTTCTAATTGCAGTCGGGGCACTCCTCCATTATTTTCTTCCTGCTTTAAATTCTGCAGTAGCTGTAACCTCACGTTCCCAGCCTAGTTTTAGGGAGGGTGGAACTGGTCCAAGTGAAACCTTTTTTTTTAATAATGTGTAAATAATAACTAACGTCTGTAAGACAACCTTGTGCAAAAATTGAGTCCTCTGTCTTGTAAATGTCCATGGCCAAGAATCATTGAGCCTTCAGTTAGTGGCTTTCACATATGTATAAAGGAAAAACTATTAATGCCCACCAGAAGACATGGTATTCACCTGCACTGATCTCCTTGGTACCCTGAATAAAATAGAAGAACTACTTTTAAATTCAAAAATTTGACTTGGAGCTACTTGAGAGGTAGAAGGGAGCCATGTTTGGTTGGAACTCAGCCTCTGCTAGTGCCAATCCGTGCATATGAAAATCTCACTAGAAAGTGGCCACAAATGTCTTCACAAACCATTAGAACCAGCAAAACTTCCTTAGAATTCCACTTCATCAGCTGGCCTTACTCCACACCCCTCCTGGGTAATTGCACTACCTGTAATTAGCACAAAGAATTGCTGACCTAATTTCAGAGACGAATTTAGGCTCTGACTATGTGCTCTGGAAAGATCTTGCTGAGGACATTGAAGGGAAATTATCCCATGGAGTTTTGAACTTGATTACAGGCAAGTGCAGAAACTCATTGCAAAAAAAAAATGCTTCTGGCAATTCAGTGGAACAGTTCCCACTCTCCTGCTGAGCAGTGGGAGCCCCTGAGCGGGGGTTCCCGGCAGGAGCGGGGCACTCTGGGCTCACGCAGGCCTCTTGCCTCACGACTGCCTGGGCCACGATAAGCTACGGCTGCTGCTCCAGGGCTTGGGCTATGCGTGTGTGGACCTTTATCTCTACCTGACTCCAGAGGTGGGACATGAGAAGGGACAATCCTGCCATTTCCTAGCTAGAGCTAGCTAGGCTGTGCTCCAGATCAGTGCTGGAAGGCACTCGTCTGCAACGCGGAACAGCTTAGTGCCTACTGAAAGGAAAACCTTCAGCTCGTAAAAATAATCAAATTGGCGGTTTCATTGGAGGTCAATGAGCCTTCTGAAACCACCTGATTAAAGATGAGGAAGGGTACACCATACCTCATCATCTGTATAGCCTTGCAAACAATGAGCTGCCTGCCCTCTACCTGCGTTGCAAGGCAGCGGCTGCTGGAGAGGTACTCACCGCTTTCCACCAGGTCCCTGGGGAATGGAGTCCACAGTTCTCGCTGAACTCTAAGCAGCAGGAGTCCGGCACCCGGGTTGTATTGTACACTTCAAACCAGTCAGTGTAGTTGGAGACTCCACAGCATCTGAACTGGAAAAAGAAGAAACCGAGGCGATACCGTAAGTATGATCTGTCATTGACTTCTGCTCGTTCTGACTTCTGCCTCCTGGAGTTGGACATTCAGTGCATTTCAATTACACCAGCAGAGGCTTGAAATTTTAAAGAAATACAGTATTTCCTCAGCTTTACCCAAATAGACCCTTTCCCCCCACTCTTTTATTATGTTTAAATCTGGTCTGGTATGTAGCTAATGCTGATACAAGAAGCAAAGACACCTCCTTGCAGTGGCAGGACACTGCGGGAGCTGAAACAGGACAACCCCAGCCAAGTACTGACGTTAAGAGTTGATGTGACTGAGCAGGGTTATAACAATCGTTTGCAGCTTGTTGTCAGGAAAAAAATTATTTAAGATACAGATAGAGCACCCAGAGGGTGAAGATACTGGGATCTCTATGGCACACTACTTCTGAAATCATGATTGACATTAACGAGGCAAATTTCTCTCTAAGCTGTTAATTACTGATCACCCTTGAAAGTCTTTGTCAGTCAGCAAAAGATGTATTTCCTCCTCTTCTCTCTTCGGTGCAGTTCCTTAATGTCATCACCTGATGCTGCTAAATAGCGGTGCTTTGAGTGTCTGCATTAAGTGTCTGCATACGACGACACGGTGTACGGTGACTGTGTTAGTGCTAACTCGGAAGGTTTGTTCCACTTTGGTAGTGGGGTGAAAGGTATAGGAAATGTACATAACAGTGCAGGGAACGGCTCTGTGACCATCCTCCCCCTCTGGGAACTGGTATATTCCTGTGATACAGAATAAGGTAAGACTCATTGCCATATAGATGTGTACACCACCTGTCACTCCTATGCTAACTCGAAAGTATGAGTTTGTCGGTATTTAGACACTTTGCCACTAACGAGTAAAACAAGACGACCCTGGGCTGCAGAACTGCTCTCTGCTGCTGGCGGTACCTCACACTTTTTCAAGGCTATGCCAGCCACCTACTTAGGCCCCAAATGACTTGCCAAGATCTTATTTTTCAAATGTGATTTTATATAAGCCTGTACAGTATTTTTCACATCCCTATAAAGACCATTGCTCTTATTTCTGATAGACTCATAATCATGCAGACGTCTGCATCACCAGGACCAAGGACCTAATTCAGATCCTGATGTTTACGCTGGCCTGAGGGAGAGTTTTCCCTATATATATATATACCTCTAATAGTTGTAGAGTCTATGGGCACAAGGGCTGAGTGTTCAGGTCTTGTTGCAGACAGAGGATCTGCCGTTCGAGACCGATAGAGGGCAGAGGTGTCACGCGTTGCCTCGCGCATCATACGGTGCTTCAAGCGCTCGCAGAAAGTTGTCCACAATAGAGACGTTTCCGTGCTCACAGCACTGTTTTTCTTCTGCCAAGCAAAAGTCAGAAATCTTTCCCAGACTAACATCTATCCCCCCAAGGTTCTGCTCAGAATTCTGATTTGGTCCGTGGCAGGAATCAATCCTTAGCTTGCAACTGTGTGATTTGTGAGTTTACAGGCTTCATTTTCTACAAACTGACTTGAAAGTAAAAAAAGTTTGTGACTTTCTTTTTTTCCTCTGTGTACCTGCACAGAAGACAGGAGCTCCGTGCATAACGGGTCCCAAAAGCAGATAGCAGTGGCATGGAACACATGGCATGCATTTGAGAAAAGCTGGTTTATCAGGAAATCTAACAAGAAGGTCTTGCAGGCTGTCACCATTAGAGTCAGGAGGCAGCTCTTTGACAGACAGTGAGAAGTGACAGCTTGTAAATAGCAAGCCTTGAAAATGTGGCTCATCTGTGATGTAGAGAGTGCGGCAGTAGGGGCTGAGACATTTGAGTGATGTTCTGGCCAAACACAAGTGACACAAGTTTGCATAAATCGGGACTAGACCCCTTCTCCCCATGATATTGCATGGCTGAGGGTGTCGAAGTCTGACAGACTCAGGAGATGAAGTACAGGTTTTGCAGCGAAGGGCTCACTAGCAGGTTGAGGACAGCTGTTCTATGGAGCCTGTGAAGCAGAAGGTGGCTGGGCCACGACCTAGGGTTGGGACTCCAAAGAGTAAAACTTCCTGGTCAGGCAGAAGGTGGAAGTAGGAGGGGATGCAGTTGCAAAGACAAGCTGCAGTGGGACACACATTGCCTGCCACGCAGATCCTCTGTGTACTGTACAAGAGCAGACGATTAAGTATCGATCCTTGCCTGCCGCTGCTGGGAGAGAAGGCAGTCCCAGCAATGGGAAGAAGGGCTAAGGAAAGATCAAGGGTAAAAAAGAGTGAAGTAGCACGAGCCTCAATAATCTTGAGACTGGAGGAAATAATGTCTGGAACTATAACTGGAAGAGATGTCACGTCTTTGGAAGACAAAGGAAGAACGAGCGATGGAATTAAGCAGCGGATGATGCACAATCCTGAAGAAGAGGAGGTGACGAGCACAGAAGAGCACTAACACCACAGGGACCAGAGAGCACACGAGCAAGCAGTGTTCAATGAAGACGAAGTCCGGTGAACGGCGTCTCTAGGGAGCAGAGGCACTGACCCATGGCATGAGGTCAAAGAGGCAAGAACAAGGCAACAAGCAGCAGTGGGATTGAATGGGTCACCAGTACAGATTCAGCAAAGGGGTCCAGCTAGAAGCCAAAAAGACGCATAAGCTGAGAGCTCAGTAAATTCAGAGACTTCATTATGGAGCCCAAATAAAGAACAGAGTGTGAGAGTGATTTTGGATCATGTGACAAGCAACTGATTTATCCTGTGTGCATGAAGCTGAACGATAAGCAGCCAAATTGTTGAGGGAGATGAGGGACTATTAGAAGAAAGAGGAATATTGAGGACAAAGAGCAAAATAAGGCGATTTTTGAGAGTCCTCTTAGATTTGAGAGCAATGTTCTCCTTTTACAATTTACGACGTTTCTGAGCAGGATAGTTGGAGACAGTCCTACACTTGGAGGATGGAGAAAGCTCAGGTCACGTGAGAGAGAATTTCTGTCACCAGCAGTTTGTCGTAGCCAGTTATACCAGACTTCGTGTTCTTCTACAAAGGCTGATGTTCTGCCAATGCCAGAAAGTTAAACTGGCTGACTGCCACGAAGCAATCGCAGACTTAATTATTGCTACAACCACATTCATTTTTTGGTCACATTTAGAGTCCTGTCTTGTTCCCTTTACTAGTTAAGTGATAACATTAGACAAGGTTGCCTAACTGATGAGTTCTGTTCCTAGGTTCAACAGGGAACAATACACTTATATTTTTTAGAAACAATTACAAACTAATAGTCCTTATTTTGGGGTACCCAGACTGACTAACACACTTTAAAGGGGGTAATCTGTTAAAAATGTCACTGTCTTGAATAGCAGTAACTTCAAGACACGTTGACTTGGACACCTCAGGCCACTTGATTTTAGGGCTTGCGCCTGTGAAGGAGCATGCGTGATTAGGTGCAATTGTGCCTGCCCGCATGAACAAATGCGGGTACTTCAGTCGGGTGACAATCGGGTAGTAGTTCTGGGGACACTCGTACGGTGTGTGGCAGAGTTGCTCAAACAAGCAAACGCTTGTCAAATGCCTCTGACTACCTAAGTTCCTGTTGCTGAACATTTCCAGGAATACTGACAACACGCTGCTGTTTGTTTCACACGTTTCATGTGGGAGGCTCTGTCGCCCGAGCTGTCAAAACACATTTTTTCCCCTCTTTGTTAAAGAGACATAAATCACTCCCCTGTTGTTACCCGTGGGGTTCTGAAGCGGCTCATCGGTTCCCAAGAGCTCAGGACACGCAGGGGCTGCTCAAGACGACGACGCAGCCAAAGGTCGTGCTGCTGAGGAGGGCTTTTCCCAGCCGAGCAGCACCGAACACGCTGAGGTCTCTCTGCTGTATTTACGGAATGCAACGCTGCTTGCAAATAGCTTAATTTTTGTGTTAACAAGTAATTGCTGCTCTAGCATGGGGTATCTAGGGCTGGTAATTCCTGTTAAACACAAAGTTTCTACCTTGGTGCAATAGAAATGTTAAGGAGTTGGATTGTATTTTACAGGCAATCCCAGTATTGAAGGCTAAGTAGGCCTTGTTTTCTTTGCCAAATTCCTGCAAAATCAGACGGGCTGGGATAGGGTTCCGGAAAATAAACAGACACCCAATCCTTGTTGCAAACAGGTTTTAGCAATTCCTCGTTTTCCGGTTTTGTGAATGTGACAGAGAAGTAGGGGCAGCGTAGGGTGCCTTTTATACGCCTTCACTGTAAAAAGTGTTGAATAAGATAGTTTTATTCTAAAATCATGTTTAATGGGTGGTTTGGATTACCTCAGCAGTAATCCTAAAGCATGGTTGGATCTAACAGAACCAATGACTGGGGTAGAGGGAGGTGGGTCAAATTTTGTTCGCAGTTACAGTGGTCTAAATAGACATGAAAGGCATCACACAGCAGTAAAAGTGAGCTGAATTTGCTCACTTTAGTGAAGCTAATGCATTTTCTGCGTGCCTCTCAAATTACTGCCTGGTTAGTTAAAAGGAGAAGTGTTCAAATATTGATCACAAGGATGTTGGGGATGAAGCGACATTTTAAAAATTAATGCCTATTTCTCATTTCCTGATGATCTCCACCTGTAACTTTAACCAGTCCTGGCTGGTAAGGAGTGTAATGCAGTTCAGGGTAACTTACATCCTAGACTATGAGAATTTTAGTCATGTTTAAAATCACTTTGTAAGTTTTCATAGTCTTCTTTTCATAGTCACACGCAAAAGTCACCTGCTTGTGTTTCTGTTCCTTTTAAGGTTTGAAACGCTAGTGAGAAAGGCTGTGAGTTTGGTTAGCTGAAGGTTTTAAAAAGAAATCAATAAAATGTTCTAATTTGAAACAGCTCCCTGACCTAGAGGCTTAATACGACTACAGAATGAGTCTAGTGCTTTTCCTCCAACATGCGCTGCATGTATGCAGCTCAACCCAGCTCCTTTATCGCTCATCTGAACAGATCAGTCATGGACCAAATCTGCAACTTTCTCCTTAAAGACGGGCCTGACGGACCCTGTTTCTTCCTTGTTCCCAGTTACTCAGGAATTGTGTGCTTCTGTTGAAAAGAGGAAAACCATTTCTCAAGGCACAAAAGCTTCAGAGAAGAAAGCCCCCCAAAAAAGGTGCTCAGGCCTTTCACACTCGAAGAAGAAACACAGTAATCACCACTCCCCGTGTGCGCTCCGGGTATCCACACTCCAGTCAGAACTCCCCTCTGGTTTGTGATCGGCCCGTCCCACAGAAATCAAATGCCATCTAAATGTGGGAAAAAACCTTTTTTTTCCCCTTCTTTAAGCAAAAGTTGCCATAGACAGTCGTACTTAGTGAACTCAGGGTGGGGATGGTCTCTATCTAAGCTAATGGTAGGAGGAATGAAGAACTCTGCCAGATCCCTCATGTCTGACCTACTCCTTCAACCACAGTGCCGTCCTTCTGCTCAAGCTCTGAAAAATACTTTTGCAAAGAAAGGAGTGTGAATGCAGAGAGGCCAAGGGAGAAGGACTCATGATTTCTGCTACTGTCATGTTTTTTACATGTCATGCTTTTTTCTGAGGCTGCTGTTTTCCATCCACGTACAGACACGGCCCGTAGCTCAACCAATGACCGATGTCTACCGGCCCCATCAGAAAAGTCAGTGCTGAGACATGTCCACGTCATTGAGACATTTTGGGAGCTGTCTCTTAGGAGCCAGAATGCAAACAGAAAGCCTGGGCCGGGACTTTCCTTTTAGAAAGTGCCCTCTATTGCCCTAGTCCTCCTATCAGTGATTACACTTTTCTCATTAGGGATGTAAGGGATAACGATTATTACTGAACACAAAAAATAAGACTTGGCATTTACATAGCGCTATCCAACTGCAAAGTGTTTTACATAATTAACCATGCTGGGATGCCTTCGCTGCACCACTGCAATAGTCTATTCCTAAATAGTTTTGAAAGATACATGTGAAAACCGATTACGCAGAGCGGTAAAAATGGATCTGTGGGAGCTCTTTGCTTTTCTCCTCGGTGCCCAGCATGGGGAGCACGGAGACTGTAACACTATGGAACTGTCAAGACAGCGCACAGTAATTTCATAGTTGCCATGTCAGAAAAGAGAGTGATGTAACATGACTGTACGTGGCTTGCGAGACGGCACTTTCCTATCATCTTTTGGGCTCCTAAGACCTAGCTAACATTAGTTTCATCTGAAACTTGTAAGACACTCTTTAAACTGTAATAGGTTTCAAGGCCAAAGGAATCATTAAGACCATCGAGCATGATCAGTAGCACGACACAGACCACAGGCTATTGAGTCCTGCCTCAAACCCAAGCTTGTCACTGAACAGGACCATTTCTTTTAGACAAAAAACCCTGTCTTGACTTCAAAGAAAAAGAATCCACCATCCTGCTGTACAATGGCATCCTACCATCAGATAACTGTCTCTTGAGTTTTTAGCTCTTGGACGAATTACAGAGCCCTTTTCTTTCAAAACCCTTTTACCTCCCTGCTCTCTTTTTAAGGACTGCAATCACAACACTACTTCATCTTTTCCTGGTTATATAAACCTTTTAAAATTTCTCACCATAATGTAAAATTCCAAAATTCTCATTATTCTTTTACATCTTTCCTGAATCCAATCCAACTTGTGAACGTCTTGAAAAAATGTGACTAGGTGAACTAGACATAGTATATATTGTTACACCTATTTTACAGAAAGGGGAGCAGAAGTATGGGGTTTATATCCCATAAGACCTTCAAATAATGCTTTTTCCCCCACGTTTGCTATATGCTCTTAACAGTACTTGGGATGTGACTGAAACCAGATTAATATTTACTGCAAACATCTTAATATTAGTAATTTTTACTACATTTTTACTAAGCAGAGTTAAGTTAGTGTAAAAGAGTAAAACTTCCAATACTGTTTGATACAAGCAATTATATTAAAAATTCTATCTGTATTTCACACGGCTTGCTCTTGGGCTAGCACCACAAAATGCATTTCTCTTGTCAGTAATTGATGCCCTCTCATATCGGATCATAGTATTGGAAGAGAAAAATATTAACAACATTGCAAGACGCTGAGGCCTTTTAAATGTAACCGAAAGAACCTTCCACGTGCAGTTTTTAGGATGCAGGACTGGAAAGCTTATTAGCTTGTTTGCTGGACCTGAGCTGTTTGTCTTTCACACACTGTACTGTTGCTGTCAACCTACTGCACTCAATACAGGCAGCTCCCGCAGCTCCAAAGACACACACGGAGCTTGGCCAACCAGTTCTTTTGTTCTGTAGTGACCCCAAATTTGTAAGTTCTCAGAACTTTTCTTAGCAGCCTGCTGCTCCTGTTATCTTGTATCATACAGAGGAGTATATGTGAATCTTGACACTATCAGACTGAAAGATGGTCAGGATTTCAGCCCAAATGGCAATAGAGGAAGTAAAGGGTAAACGAGCAGGTTTATCATATCAGAATGTGGTAGCCTGTCCATCATCTCAAATAGTTCATATAATCTTTGAAGCGTTGGGAGGGATTATCATCTTTGGCCGATTTAAGACGTCAGAGGCAAGACTAAAGCCCTGCCTGTCTGTACCACGCTAGTGCCTCTGGAGGAGAATTTGAGAAAGCTACGCAAGATTTTTTGAGTGAAGCCAAGGCAGTACAAGTGCTTCTTCCTAAAGCAGAAGAAAAGTTGGAGCACTTTTCCTCATTCAAGAAGCAGAGAAAATAAAGTCAGAAAGATCATTCCCAAGAGAACTGATTGAACTGAGTATGAAAAGAGAAGGACAGAGCTAATAAACCTGAACTGTCAGTGATGGTGTTTCCTCAGCAAGCCAGACAAGGACAAGAGGAGGAAGCCAGCTATATGTTCACCAGTTCTTAGGAGACAAACACTAGCAGAATGCTGTCAGAGAAGCAGAAGGATGCAACAGCGGTGGCAACATAGCAGAAAGCACTCCCAGCCCATCTGTGATGGAAGATGATTGAATTCTGATGGGAAAAACGTATTGACTGTAGGAGGAGGTTGTAAACACCATGGCCAGTTTCCATTTTGACTACACTAGTGGAAACCAACAATAGCAACGAAAGGAGACGGGACAGAAATGAAAAGGGGATGAAGTGGTTCTTTGTTATTACGCTATTGCTCTTCATTCCAACATAAGCTGTCCCTTTGACTTTAAAGAGAAGGCACTGCTTGTTTCCTGTCTGACCATCTCCTTCGCTCTCCACACAGCACAGAACTATATGATATTTAGGCGTCAACACAATACAAATTTTTAAAAGAAATAAGCTATCCTGGTCAAAGGAGAAATAAATAAAAATTACCATTTGTTACAAAAAGCAGAGAGTTTAGTTGCTAATGTGCTGACTGGGTGGGAGGAAGAGATTGGCTTGGGATCCGGAGGTTTAATTAGGTTCACACCCAGAACATGCTGTTACAGAATCCAGAGGGTAAGGAGGAAGAAAAAAAGAAAAGCTCAGACTTACATCTGTTTGAATGATGCTCCACGCATTAGTTAGGCCAATATTTCCATCTGTCCCGTACAAATGAAGCCCTTTCTTCAGATCCCGCTGAGCATACTTGTCAATCTAAAACCAACAATAAAAGAGACAAAACTCAAAATTTGCTGAGTACCACGTTTCAGAATCAAAGTGCACGGAGCAGGGAGATGTTGGACAACAGTCCCATACTGAAATGAATAAAACGTTAACCAACATTTCCTAAAGCCTTTCTCCAGTAGAGCTGGTATCTATTACAGGTATCTGCATTTTGTAAAGAACATGAGGAGTTCCTGCTCTGAGTTAATGTTCATGTTTTCCATCACAGACCTCCAGAACATCTTTTCCCTTCTCACTTAACCACCAAAGTACTATAGAGAGACTGGATTCAGTTTAATCACTCATTTTTTGCAAATGAGGCCTATATATGAAAACATTCATCTACCCACAACATTTCCTTTTAGCTTAATATCTTAAATTGTGACCAAGTACCCCCCAGCGTCTCCCATATGCTTCCTGGGAGACCAGCAGCGGCATTAACATTGTACTGACACTCTGAATTGTGTTCATTGTACCAGCCAGGGTACCCCACTTCTTACAGCAGGATGGACGTAGTTATATTGAAGCGGCAGGGAATGAGCTATCCAAAATTCAGGACAGGCAGGATTTAAGAATTTAGCTACTAAATGGAGCTGCTCTTAAATAAATGCATTTTTGTTGATTTAATGAAAGTCCAAAGTTCTGCTTTAGAGGCTTTTGCAATTGAAGATGGTGCTTTCTTGTTGAGAGTCTCTGCTGGTACAGCAGGCTATTGTTGGATCCGCGGGTCACCACCAGGTAGTATCCAAAATGGTTGCAAGTGCCTCTCTCCCAGTCTAACCATACACGCACAATTCTACAGGATCAAGCAAACACAAAAAAGGAAGAAAATGATAAATGGATATTCAGGCTTAACCTGATTTTTCTGTTGTAAATGAAAAGCACTGAATAGTGCTGCTCAAATACGCCCGTACATTCCCCCCTCCCCTGGGGCTTGTCAATGTTCGTGGTCTGTTTGACATCAGAGGTGTAGCAGGAAGGGTGAGCAGACCTGTCCCATTTTCTTCTCCATCAATCTGCTATAAACCTGACTACAAAATACAGTGCCACTCTGAGATCTTTCTGCTGCAACAGTCGAAAAGAAAACCAAAATTAAAGTCACAGTTTGCTTCATGGGGACAGTCTAAGTTAATACATACTCTCTTCCATATTGGACAACACAGACATGGTGTATTCTCTAGTGATTGCCCCTCTGACACTAGTCATTCCAGCTGAGGGGTGTCTAAAATGAAGTAACCAATGCTGATTTTGAGTTAACAGAGGGGAAAAAAGGTATTCTGCTTCTACCATACACTGGATTTTCCTTCTGCTTTGTTCAGTCAGAATTGTTTTCATTTGCTCCTGGAAAAAAAAGTGGATGCAAAGCATCTTCCACAGTGTAAAAGAGGAATTTTCAACCCACTACATCATAATTATTATGGGGTAAATGTAAAGTTACTCAACAATATGACTCCACAAAAAACTGTGACCTCAAAAGTTCATCATGTCCAAGAAATCTCTTGCAAAGAGATTGGTGCAAAGGGTTGTGCTTGGTCTCTCCAGTTCTTTTGTTTACCACCATCAAGCTGAGCCACTAATAAAATAGCTTTGGGACAGTACAAGAAAGATGTACAACTTGATCTCAGCACCTTAGCTATCATGCAAGCACTTTCTCATGGATGACTATCTTGAACAGTAGGTGCTGTGCTCCCACTGTAATTATCACGTGAGCTGCTTTTGACTTTACGCAGAGATTATCCATAGTCACTGGTATGTTAACTCGAAGAGAAAACCAAAGCTATCATTAAATTTGGAATGAGTGGAGAAAATTACAGGCAATAAATTATAAACTTACAAGTGGGGGGGATTCCTAGCATTCATTTAAGAATTAGATTGAACTGGGTTTCAGCTCTTCACTTACCCTCAGCTCCCTGCGGCTCAGCTGGACCTGCTGTCATCTCGAGCAGAGCCATCAATTAGGATGGAAGGGCACGGCTGTGTTGCTAGTCTGAGAGAGGCTTTGAAATTTAGTGTCCTACAGAGGTAGTGAGGTAAATTAATTGTTGAAAAACTAATTCTTATTCAGAAAGGGACAGAGGTAAAGAGGAACAGCATAGCTGAGGGCAGGTGGGGACAGAAATCTAGCTAGTAGATTTGTTGCCTTGAAGATGAAAGAGAAAAGTCTCTTTGGAATATTAATTTATCACACCCGAAAAAATCTGCCCTGTAAAGTGAGAGAGCTTTTCATCAGCCTACAGTTCATATCACCACTAATCTGGAACCAGGGAGATAAGGTCAAATGAAACAGTGATGCTTATATGAAGGGCAAATGCCATGGTACCAAAATGGTGTAAAATGCAAAGTTTGCATTTCCTCACTCAAATTTTGCTTTGTAAACCAATGCAGTGGCTCAGCACGATAATCCCTTTTACCAGGGCTCACAAGCTGCCCTTGTTAATGCAATCTTCATGTCCTGTTTGAGATCAATAATAACAACATAATAATCATGGAATTATAGAATGGTTGGGGTTGGAAGGCACCTTTAAGAGTCATCTAGTCCAACCCCCTGCAATGAGCAGGGACATCTTCCACTAGATCAGGTTGCTCAGAGCCCCGTCCAACCTGACCTTGAATGTTCCCAAAGATGGGGGATCTACCACCTCTCTGGGCAACCTCTGCCAGTGTTCCACCACCTTCACTGTAAAAAAACTTCTTCCTTATATCTAATCTGA